ATTTGTATTTAGAAGCACTGTAATAAAATTATAATTAGCAAAAATAGTCAAAGCTGAGTTTTTGTTTTTCCTCTGGAAGTCATCGGCTCTCCACTTCAGATCCAGATTGTGGCATGTAGGCTCGTTTTCATAAGTACTAATCCTGTTAACCTGGTTTTGGTAAGAATTTTTGTTCTTAGCGATCACGTTCTACAGATTCAGCATTTTATTTTGTTGGTCATTTTATTCTTAAGTGAAACCTTTTTATAATGCGGTAAAAGCTCACTCAGAGCATTACCAAAGATTCTCATATTCCTGTTTGAATTAAAAACCAAAAATTATGCTGGGCCTTAGCCACAGCATTCCTGGTGTGAAGACTGAGCTGCAGTGTGTGTAAGTACCTCGGAGACTTCCAGACGCTCTGAAAAGGCGACAGTGCATGGATCATGGATGTTTGACTGAAGTGTCTAGGGCAACCATGTTATAATTCAAGATTGTGTTAAAGGTCAGTACAGTCTCTCTTTCTGCCTTAGTTCGCTGATTGAAAAATTAAAAGCCCAAAAAAGTCAGGTAACCTGCTGTGGTAGAGGAGTGTTTTAGAAATGACAAGTACAGCCCTTGTCACAGAGGGCAGATAAGGTGGAGATTTGGTCAGCTGCCCTCTTTTTTAAATGTAGCCCTCAATAATAAGCCAAGGCTTATTCTTTTGGGGAAAAAAAAATTAGAGACATATGAAAGGTCTTTCACAAAGGGCTTTAAGCTTTATCATTGAGAATAAAAATCTCGATTGTGTCTAATTACCCTGTTTTTCCTGTGCTTTCTGATCTTTCCTCTAGCATCAAGTCTGTAGAATTTCAGAAAGGTGAGGTCCTCAGGGATCATTTACTCCAGCTTTATAGTTGAAGGACTCTTAATATGTAGCTGAGGAAGAGGGGGAGGGGAGTGAGTCCTGCATTTTCTCTTTTGGATGGGAGAGCACTTCAGGAGCCAGTTAGTGTAATTTGTCCAACTTTCAGATGTTGTAAAACTTCATGTGCCAAAACCGAGAGAAAAGTTTGAATTTATTTAACTTCCTATAGGAATTAACGGAAAACTTGGGAAGGACAGAAAGACTTCCTGGCAAATTAAGTGCTAATGTCACTAGGCAGATTATCAAATATTGAATCAGTAACATCACAATAAAGCTTAATTGTCCTTTAACTGTGGTGTCTTGTTTAAAAAAAAAAAAATGTGTAGGCTATTTCTTAAATGTTACTTTTTCAAGAAAGTATATAACACTTTCTGCCTAACTGTCCTCTAAAAATATAATTTATGCAGTATAAGGAAGGAAAGATCATTTATTCTCAGAACCTTTTAAAGGTCATTGAGAATATCCATATGAACATTTGAATGTTTTCTGTGTAGTCTATGAGGCTGACATACATAGTGAGTGACTTGTGCACAAAGAATTGAAGAGAAAAGAAGACCCAGTCTCGTGTGTAAGGGAGGGGTCCACATTTGATTTTTAGTGGTGTATCTACAGTGTGTTTGAAAACGGGAAGATTGGCTCGGGTGAGGGAACGTCCTAAATGGTCATCGACTTGGAATGATTGCACAGCGTTGCTAATTTGTGCCACGTGTGGTGGTCATTCTGAACTTAATGTGTTAAGAAACAATGTCCTATGTGGGAATAATTTTAGGATCTTTTGAAATGTTTTTGCTTCCTTCATTAGTCTGTTTGGGGGCTCCATTTTATGCATAGAGCTTTTTTGTCTTTTTAAAAATTATACTTTAAAAAGGCTTCTTCCTCTTGTTGAAGCTTAGTATGCTTTTTGGGGATCTATCTTGGTAGTTATTGGTTAGTGTTACCCAGTGTGACACTTGTTTTGAATCTTGAATGTCTTGAAGATTTATGCATATGGCTTTTTATTACTATTATAGCACTGCTATTTTAAAGATTTATAAAATACTCTTTATTAAGTAGTCCATGGCACTATAATCTCCGTTAGGTAGTCTGGAGCATCACAAAGTATCTGGCACCTCCTAGCATCCCAGTCATTTTACCTAGGCAACCGAATGAGCCATCAAAATATACCGTTTAGTAAATGGTACATAATAAAATCTCATGATCCAGAGACTTAGAGGGAAAAATGAGAATAAGAGTAGCGAGTTTCTAATATCTTCAAGTTTACAACAAGATTTGCCATGACTGTGTTATTACTGTAGCAGAGTGATTTCTTTAGTATAACGGAAGTGGAGGCTGATACTCTATGCTTTCCACCCGGTATTACTTTTGTTCTTGAATCTAGTTATTAGAAAGTTGACTGTTACAGGAAAGTGATGAATTTCTTATATTTACATTGTCACGTTAAATGCTTCTGATAGAACCTGTGGATCCCATAAATGGTACAAATTGTATTCCTTAGAGCTTTGTTGCGCAGTGTATGGTCCAGGGACCAGCAGCATCAGTATCACCTGGAAGTTTGTTTGAAATGCAGAATTTCAGGCCTTACTCCAGACCACTTACATCAGAATCTGCATTTTAACCGCATCCCCAGGTGATTTGTATACACATTAAACTTGAGAAGCACTGCCTTCAAGTGTATACTTCATATTTGGGACAGATTCAGTTCATGCATAAAAAGACAGTATTTCTCTTTGGAAGTTTCATCTAAACTGTCCAGAATTACCAGTTGCTGTAAACACAGTGTAACTCTAAGTAATCAGATATTCCCGTTGGCTCTGATGAAAACCAAACGCCCTTAGAGTACAGTAGCATTATCTGTGATGGGGCTTTTGTGGCAGACTTAGTTAGATTGTGATATTTGTTGCTACCTTTTCAGGTGCCCCTGCCCAACACCCTTCCCCTCCCTAAGAGGGAGACTCTACAACAGAGCTCCAGCCTAACTTCAGTTCCTCCCACTACTTTCAGCCTCACCTTCAAGGTACGTACGCTCTCATCTCTAAGGGTCCTGGAGTACTGCATGCAAGGGGACGTAAATAAGCTCACAATATTCTCTTGGTATTTCTACTCGTTTTGTGTGGTAAGCAACAATACTAAGCTGAGGAAATGGAACGATGTCAAATTAGACCTTAAAATTTTATTAGCTTCTAATAAAAGTGACTTAGAAGTGACTTGATATTCTTATATCTAAAGTGAGGCCTGCTGTGCTTGTGAATTTTGTCTAAAATTATAGCAGAGCGTTTATAGCCCATGTTTGTACTAAGCTCCTCTTATTAGAGATCTCAATTTTTGGATATGTTAGTTGTATATATATTTAAAAAAAAAAACTAATTTGATGTTGCATGCTTTTTTATCCTAAGTACAAATAATGATAAGAACGATAATTTTCTGTCTTTCCTGTAAGTTGTAGGAATTGAAAGAAAGCACTGTAGTAGTTGCTATGAAGAGGTAATTGAGTAATACAGGTGATTTTGAATCAATTGTTATTGAGTAGTTTTTGAGTAAGGAAGCCAAAGAGATATTAGACAATGCATTTTTTTAACTTCAAGAAGTTTAGGCATGTTTGTTTTTTTTATCTCGTATTATGTTTATAATTTTGCACTGTTAACTAATGCTTTATTACAATTGAGTTGTTCGAGAGTATTCTAAATCAGTCATTCACCTCAAGTGCCCACTTAGAATTGAGGATTTTTTCCAAGGCAGATGTTTAACCTCTGTTACCGCAGGGCCTCCTAAGGTGGGGCCGGTTGATGGCGAATCCTTTCACTGGTCGCCGCGTCGTTTTATGATGAGGCCAGTGTTTATGTCTAGACTCTTTCTGCTTTAGTCTCCAGCTTCTTGACTACTTGACCTCTTGCCCCACAACTACTTTGTAAGAGGCTTAATAAATATAAGTTTGAGACCATACAATTTTATAAGACAGCCATCTCTGCGTTGTGACATCTCCACCTTTACCCAGTCCTCCCTGTTCGCATCCATTTTCCGCTCAGCCTTTGTTACTCCTTTCCTGTTGGAATGACTGGCAGTCTGTGCTTCACATTATGTCTTATTTGTATTCTTTACCATTATACTGTTGAAGGCAATGGTCTAATTTTACGTAAGCAAATATAATATTATTCTTTAGGCCAGTTGTTAATTCATAAAAAGACCCATTCAACATTGCCTTTCCCTTAATGTTTTTAACACTCCAGAGGGAAACAATATACATTTAGAATTAAAATGACTCTAAATTAAATCACATGGACGTAAAACTTCTCTGCTATCTTTATTTTTACTTCTTCTGACATCTCTCTCTATTTGGGTAATACATGAAGTATAGAAACGTTATTGACAGTACATTTGCCAAGGGGGAAAATGAGTATACTTAAGTAATTGCACTTTTTAGTTTCTTTGAATTTCCAAAGATAGATTGTAAATTTTCTTACTGCTCAAGAAATGAAGTGAAGCTAAGTGGATGTGGCCTGTATATTACGCAAGTTTGATTAGCTATAATTTATGATGTGCTTTCAACACAATAAAACTGATGTAAAAGGCATTGTACTTTGTAAAATTACTTTAAACCACAAAATCTAAGATAGTATAAGCAAATTGCATCTTGTCTAACTTTCTAAGTTGTTTTTTTAACACACCCCACCCAAGACTTTTGTTTTAAAATAAAACACATTTGAACCCAACAAGGTATTTTTGAGAAGAAAAGACTCAGGCAAACATGAGAGTGTCTTATACTTTGAATTTATGAAGATGACATTAGTCATTGAGAAAAGGTTAAATCACATTTAGTGTGTTCTATAGGAAAGCAGGGAGATATATTTCTCAAATTCTTACAATTAAAATAAGGTTAAAGTTTTAAAAGTTGGTACTTCAAAGACCTACAAACTTTAACAATGGTATTAAAAAATCTTACTTGTGAAAAGTATCCTCATACAAGTCATTGCCACTGAATTTTACAATTTTTGGTTTTCCTCTTGGCCCAGTATTTTGACTAGTAGAACTAATACCTTCAAAATCTACGTACCTCTTCCCTTCTTATTCGAGTAGCTGTAGGATAGTTGAGGACCTACGTCTGCGTTCCGCAGTTCAGTAGCCACGGCCCATGTGGCGATCGAGCGCTGAACATGCGTGCGTTAAGTGTAAGAGAAAATAGATGCTGAATCTGAAATGGTAGTTTTTTAAACCCATTAAAACATCTCGATGTTTATGTTGATTATTAGTTTTCATTATATTGTAGATACGTTGGGTTGAATAAAACGTGTTACCAAAGTTAATGTTACCTTTTCATTTTTTAAAACGTGACCCCTAAAAACTTTATATATGTGGCTGCATGGATGTGTGTTGAAGGGCACTGCCCTAGAGAGATTGCACATGGAGTACCTTCTAAGAAACCGGGAGATTCTAGCCGAATCCAGTAGCCACAAATAGAAACGGCAGCGGTCGGCACCGAAACGCTTCGCGGGCTTGTTGTGGAACCAGTGTTCACGCACGCTGCTCCCGAGCCACCCGCCGTCTGGCTCCTCTGCCTTTTAAAACGCGCGCGTGAAGCAGCCAGGCGCAAGGTGCCCTTGGAGAGACGTTGACTTAGAAAGAAAGAAAGCGGAGGGAATGAGTATTTTCAGAGGGCCGGCGGAGCCTAACGGCAGCCCCGAAGGGACCTACTGTATCCCTTCCTCACGCGCTGGTGGGGACAGGGACCGTGCTTAGATGATACTGGAGCTGTGACTTTGTATTTCACTGGTCCGTTTGGCAAAGCCGTCGGCAAGCTCTCTGTAGAGACGTAATTAAAGCCCACCACCTCCCAACGCAAGCAGGAGAGAACAGGTAAAGGGGAAAGTAAAGGTTTGAAAGCCCAAGAGTCTTAATCTTTTATTTTTGTGATCTTTGAAAGGTTATATTTGGAATTTAAATATAGGTTATGTATGTATTCGTGTACATATTTATGTATGTGTATACTAGCATCGTGGGGTTTTTTTGTTTTGTTTTTGGTTTTGTTTTTGGGTTTTTTTGCTTTAAAAATCGTCCATTTCATTGCAGATGGAGTCTGCGCGTAAGGCGTGGGAAAATTCTCCCAACGTGAGGGAGAAGGGCTCTCCGGTGGCCTCTGCAGCGCCCCCCGTCGCCAGCGGCGTCAGCAGCGGCGCCAGCGGCCCGGGCACGGCCAGTTACAGCTCATTCTCCAGCGCGTCGGTGCCGCAGATCCCCGTCGCTTCGGTCACTCCTACGACATCGCTGTCAGGTAGAGGGTCCCTTTACATGTCTTGAATTGTTCCAGGTTTTTTAGGGTCATTTTCAGTTTATTATCTCCCCCAAGAAAAGTCTTCCTTCTAAAAGGCGTGAGATTGCGCGGGAAGCACCGGCTGTTTTGTGGGCGTCTTGTCGTTCTCACCCCCGCTCCCCTTTGCTCTCCCGGTTTTAGTTGAGCGAGCGTTTCTTGGCGGCTTTCTAAAACACTTTGCTGGGCCTTCTTTTCTTGCCTCTCACTCCCTCCCCCATTACAGGTACTGATAACATCTTGTTTCTCTAAATTTTTCTATAAAATGCACCTTTTGATTTTTATTTTTTCACTCATATACAGCTAATTAAAACCAGCTTAGAAAGAATACATTCACCTAGTTTTTAAATATTTTGCAGTCTGTGTCTAATTTGAAGGAGCTATTGGGCAAAATCTGTTGGGTTGACATTTTCTGGTGAAGAGAGGTAGAGAATGTCCAGTCTCTGTTTTTTGAGTAAATGGTATCCACTGGTTTTTGCTTTTTGTTTCGCTTTTAAGGTGAGTCCCTAAGCACCCCAAGGTAGAAGGGCTTTTCTTCCTTAAATTTTTCACGAGCAGTGGTCCTTTCATGGAACCGAATCTCATTTTAGGCTTCGCAGTTCTTAGAGAATCACAGGGGCCTCTGTGACACCCCTGAGCCGGGGAAGTGCGCCCACCTCACGTACAGCCGTGTTTACTGATCACAGAATGACAGACAGTAGAATGTCATTCTCTGCTATTTTTAAGTACCAAAAGAACTGGTCTTTGGGTTGTACTACAGTTATTTTGCTGTTATCCGGAATCAGAAGTATGTATTAAGAGAAACCCAGAGATCCAAATCAAAGAGAGTATTCCAGCTGCCCCTCTTCCGTCTTTAAAACCCGGGCAGGCGGTCTTTAGCGCCCTGGCTGGAGCCTGGGCCCGAGGCCGCGTGGGCGGGTAGTGGGCGGGGCTGTAAAGCAGCCAGGAGGGAGAGTGTCATAGGATGATCAGGAATAAAGGGACTGAGAAGGTTGCTCGTTCTTTCTTTGGTACCCAACTGCTTCCCTTTTTCCAGGTCTGTAGTTTTTCTACACTCCTGTCAGTGAGGGTAAATTTTTAACAAGGACCTTCTTGTCATCCTGTTGCTAGAGACTCAAGTAGAAGAACAAGGGTACCTTGGTCTTGGTCCTGTCTTAGAGAGAACATCATGAGAATATGTCAAATAATGACAGCTTCCTCTCACTTTTTAAGCAAATACCAGTACTGTCATTTACTCCAGTATTGCAGACACTATAGCTCATTGATCAGCAGACTTGACCCTTCAAGTTGTATGATACTACTTATTTGTTAATAGTTTGTCTTTATATATACAAGGGGGGTGGAGAGAGGGAGAAGTATAGAGGTAGTTATGGTGATGTATACCTCATATCCTGAGGGACACAGGGTATGTATATCCTGAGCTGCTGCCTCTAAGTACATGGTGAGCATAAACATTAATTTTCCGGTTTCTGGTTGGTGCTTGAGTTATTTTACTGTGAACAACAGTGGCACTTCATAAAATATTTCACCGTCCCCTTATTTCATCCCTCTCAAATCTAGGTGCTGGTACATACACTACCTCTTCTCTGAGTACAAAGTCCACAACCACGTCAGACCCGCCTAACATCTGTAAAGTGAAGCCCCAGCAGTTGCAGACAGGCAGCCTGCCCTCCGCCAGCCACTTCTCGCAGCTGAGCTGTGTGCCCTCCCTGATGGCCCAGCAGCAGCAGAGCCCACAAGTCTACGTGTCGCAGTCGGCAGCAGGTGAGGGTTTTGGAACCAGGTACAGGAAATTGAGAAAACGAAGACTTTGTGGATGCTTAATTTTTTTCTCTTATTAGTTACCCTTTCAAGTTCGAGTACTTTTTGATCTGGTTTTTGCAAATTTATCTCCTGATAGAATTGACTGCTGTCTCTCTTCGATAAGCATTCTGGGACTCTTGGCCATTGTCTCTTCCACACGTATATGAGACAAATTAGGGTCTAATAATTTGCAGACTAACTTGTGCATTTGATGTTATTCCAATCATATTAGAAAGTTTGTTATCTGAAACTTGACAAATGGGTAATAAAGTTCATGGGGGAAGAATAAACCAAAGAATAACAAAGAAGACAAAAATATGTTTGGGGTGGAGTAACTTATATTACTAAATATTACAGTGTGAACTGAGTCAAGTAGTAAACAAACATTGGAATAATATTCAGACTTATTAATGACTTAAACCCAAAATAAAAGAACAGTGAGTCTATACCTTGCCTTACCAGGTGGGGAATAGTAGAAAGATTGATAATACCCAGCATCTTTAATACTCAGTATCCGTGAGGATCGTGAGCCTTATTATTATTAGGCTGTTAAAGTACCTTGTTGGTGAGCATATAAATTGACATGATTCTTCTAGAAAAGTATATCAGAATATTTTATGTGTACATACTCACCATAGTAACAGTTTCATGGTTAGGAATCTCATACAGATAAACTTATTTATTAATCAGAGATATGTATGAGAGATTGTATTCTTTGCAGTATTGTTTATAATGGTGACAAATTAAAAAAAAAACTTGGGAAGTTCTTCAAAACATGAAAACAGCAAATCACAAAATAGTATATATAATACATAGAAATCTGTTAAAAGTCTATACCAAATTCTTTCGATTATTAAATGTCAACTCATTTGAAATAGTTTGTGAAATTCTAGTAGATAAATGTAAAATTGAAGTGGATTTGCTGTTAAACAGGTTCATTTTCAGTTTTAGTAGGATATGTAAAATTTTACTGGTTTATACCCCATTGACAGTGAATGAGAGTGTCTGTTTCTTACGCCTTCACAAGTGCTAGTTTCATCGTTTTAATTTGCATATACCTGCCTGATCGAAGCTGTGCATCTTTTTGCCTTTGCATCTTTTCACATTTCTAGGTTTTCCTTGGGTTGTATTAATTTTCAGAGAGCTTACTTAATTTGAAGTCTGCTACAAAATTTAGTAACTGTTTGGAAAAATCTGAAATTAGACACTTATTACTTCTTGTTTTTCCTCACGGTCCCATAGCTCAGATCCCAGCTTTCTACATGGACACCAGTCATTTATTCAATACCCAGCATGCACGATTGGCTCCACCATCGTTGGCCCAGCAACAAGGCTTCCAGCCAGGTCTTTCTCAGGTAAATGTCACAGACTTCTATCCTGTATTTGTTTCTCGACATTTTTATGGTGTAATAATTATCTTGGGCTACAAATAATTGACTCCTTGAAGTTATAATCTTATATTTACAACATGGGACAACCCTATGAATTCCTTGATATGTATTAGCAAAATTGTAAAGCTTCCCAAATTTGTCAAAGCTGAATGATTAACAATGTAGATCAAGTAATGGGTTGAAAGGGAAATTTAGATCTTTACATTCGGTTTTGTTTTAAAAGGGAGCTAATACATGGCATTAATCTTTTATTCTCGTCATATCTCAAGTGTTTATTTGCCCAGATGTTTTGAGTTGTGTGTACGGTGTTCACATGTCGTTTTTCTTGTTTTGTTTTGTTTCTCATTGCAATGCAGCCAGCTTCAGTTCAGCAGATCCCCATCCCTATCTACGCGCCGCTGCAAGGACAGCATCAGGCCCAGCTGAGCCTGGGCGCCGGACCGGCCGTCTCCCAGGCCCAGGAGTTATTCGGCTCGTCCCTCCAACCGTATAGGTGGGCCGCGCTGCGTGGCATCTGTGGTACCGGGCACAGGGTGGCTGCTGCGCTTCCTTGCCTCTCCTTGCTGCTCCTTCCTCCCAGTCATGAGCAGTGTTAAGTTATTAAGTGTGTTGATATGTGTCACGAACCTCAGCCGCCAGCCGTTTCAGTCAGACTTTATTGAACAAAGTCAAGTCTCGGTGCTTCTCAAAGAAGGTAGCAGCATCTCCATAACAATTAGAAAATCACTGCAAATAGCTGCTGCAGGGCCCAGAAGCCTCAGCGCAGCCTTGCTGCCAGCAGCCAGGAAGCCAAGGCTGCTGTGTTACGAGCTGAGGCGAATGACAGCAGTGAGCGGGTGGAGGCCAGGCGGGATGGAGCAGGAGGAGGAGTAGAGTGTCAGACAAAGAAGGGAAGCAGCGACGATAGTGGTGGCAAGTGTGCTGTGTCGTGGGCGGGAAAGCATTCTTTTGAAAGAGTCACAGTAAGTTTTCTTTGCAGTCAAGGAAATAATGGAAACTGATCTTCGTTGAACTTGCCCTGTATGTGAAACTATCCAGCCCCTGACATACAGTAATGTAGTACATGGTCTAAGGGAGCTGAAGTCATCCTCATTTGATACACGAGGAGCTTAGAACTTGAAGGGGTTGTTGTTGTTTTTTTTACCTAAGGTTACATGGCAAATAAGTGACAGAGCCTGGATTCAACCCCAGGTGTCTCTCAGCTCCAACTTAATAGGATGATGGCGGGTGGGCTGAGCATCACTGATAGCAGTGATCATAGCATAGCTGTCATCCATACTCATGGTAGTGGCTCTACGCCATCAATCAATAAATAAATTACTTTCAGGACAGTTTAGGAAGGTTGCAAAGTTATGCATTTGCTTTTAGAAACATGTTGGTTTTTGGTGGGGTTCAGATAGAATTTCTGTACTTTATAGGTTAAAATTGGCATCAATTGATGTATAGCTCATTTCTCTTAGATTACATAAATTACATTCCTAAAGAAGCTAGGTTCATCTAATTAACTTTCTTAACAGAGCGGAATTATTACTAAACTTAATATGCCTCTCACTTTTATTTTTTGATTAAAGGTTCTCCAGCAGAGTTTAGTATTTCTATATAATTAGTTGTATATAGGATGGTTTATTTTCTGGTATATGTAGTAAAAAATAAAAGTTTGAAATAGCAGGTAGGTTCATTGTCACAAACCAGTGTCCTTTTAATTGGTATTGGCTTCTGAATTGTTGGAAAGTCATAGCTACTTCCCAGCTCTGTGAGAATGAGCTCAGCGATGACGTGGTAACGTGTTCCATAGCCACGGGGGACAGAACAGCAGCGCGGTGACATTGTGTCTTAACTCCTGTTTTAACCATTGCTTTGGAGACCAGACCTGTTTAATAGAAATGCAGTGTGCGCTGTACGTGTGGTTGTGGCTCCTTTGTTGGAAGACACACGGTTAGACTTTGAGGACAGTCTGGATCCGTACCCCATCGTTCTGCTCCTCCTTGTCCTCCCCCCAGTCAGCATGTGTGTGTGTTAACAGGGAATCCCTGAATTAGTTTCTGCCAGCACAGTGTGGAACAACACGCTTATGTTTTCCCATTTTTTAAAGTATGATCGGAGGCCTCCATCCCAGAGAGTTAACAGGGCAGTCTGAGGTTTGATTCCAGCTTTGTATTAAAAAAAGTAAAACCTCAAATGTGAACACAGTATCATGAACCGTAGTCACCATGGTGCATATTGCACTCCCGTAACTGACTTATTTTATAACTAGATGTTTGTATTTGATCGTAATACAGTGTTGCATACTTTAAAGTTGCTAATTGAGTAGATCTTAAAAGTTCTCATCATGAGAAAAACTGTAAGGGTGACAGACGTTAACTGGACTTAGTGCTGATCATTTTGCAGTAGATAACAAACACCGAATCATTGTGTTTAAAATGTCATATGTCCGTTATACCTTATTTAAGGAAAACGACTTCGTGGGTAATGTGGGAACTGCTGCTCTGCTCCATTGCACAGAGGACTTGAGGCCTCTCGTGAGCAGCCTGTGAGAGGGAAGCAGGGACGTGCAGTCGAGTCCGAGCCGGCGGCGCCGGCAGAGCTGCTGAGGTGAACTGTCAGCGCCAAAGAGAAGACGGTAGATTTAGTTCTGAGCTTTCCCGTAAAACTCGAAAAGAGACTCATTCTCATTGTTCAGGAGGAGAAAATCTTCCCTGCTTCTCAGGAAGAGTAACCCTTTTTCCAGAACTTTTAGCTGTGGAGCTTCACTGTTCAGGAGGCTCTAAATCTTGAAACAAGTGCCTTGGACACAGTCAGCGTTCTCTGCGTCAAGATTTCCAGATTCCAGATAGAATCAGCTTGTAACACAAGCCTTTTCTCTTCGATCCTTACGTAGATCTCAGCCAGCCTTCATGCAGAGCAGCCTGTCCCAGCCGTCTGTGGTCCTCTCTGGCACCGCCATCCACAGTTTCCCAGCTGTCCAGCACCAGGAACTTGCCAAGGCGCAGTCGGGCCTTGCCTTTCAGCAGACTTCAAATACTCAGCCCATTCCTATACTGTATGAACATCAGCTAGGCCAGGCATCGGGCCTGGGAGGGTCCCAGCTCATCGACACACATCTCCTCCAGGTGAGGCAGGGGCCGGGGCGTGCACTGGCATTGTGGTTTTTTGCCGCAGATTATGTAAGAACAGCTTTTAAAGAAAAATGTTAAAAGACACCAAAAACAGACATGGACCATAGACCAGTGGTTACCAGAGGGGAGGGAGTGGGGGAGGGAGGGGGGAGGTAGATGAGGTAAAGGAGGTCAAATATGTGGTGACAGAAAGAAATCTAATTATGGGAAGTGAGCACACATTGTAAATGTGTGTGTGTGTGTGTGTGTATGCCTTATTGTTAAAGTGTACAGCTGAAACTTATTGAATTTTGTTAACCAATGTCACCATAAAAAAATTAATTAATTAAAAGGAAAATAATAAACGCATCTTTAAAAAAAAAAGACACCAAAAACAAAGGTCTTCCTCTTTGTCTAATACTAAAATTGTTAGAGATTGCTTGGGAGCCACAACCTTGATACCTGACTTGGAAATTTTTTCAATCTTATTGTTGTTTTCTTAATCAATTTTTTCTAGGCTAGAGCAAATCTTACCCAGGCTTCAAATCTTTATTCCGGACAAGTACAGCAGCCTGGTCAGACAAATTTTTATAACACTGCCCAGTCACCGAGTACTCTCCAGCAGGTAAACTATGGCATGGTAAATTTCCTCAATTTTCTTTATTATTATCATTATCATTATTATTATTGTTACTGCTTTTGTTATTGTTTGGGAATTTAAACAGAAACAAGATGGGGAGTAGTGCAGAGGTTTTCTCTGAGGTGTCCTGGGAAATGGCATCCACACCTCCACTTCAAGCAGCCGTTTATCTCTCTTTTTTAAATGGGTTTCCATGTAATTGTTTATTTTAACAAAGGACCCCATGAATATAAACTTTTGAAAGCCATTGTTCAGGATTCACAGTTACACGTAAGCGCAGTAGAGACGAAGACGGACGAGACCGTCGTGCTGGTTAATGCGGTCCGTAGGGCGGTGGCAGAGTGTGCCAGAGGGCCATGCCACACACGTTTCTTAAGTGTGCGAATGTAATCATTTTCAGTGAAAACTATTTTTTTTTAACTATCTCCTCCAGCAGTATCATTAATCGGCTTCCTCTTTAAAAGTTGGCGGAGGCTGAGGGCGGGAAAGGCGAGCCTGTAGACATTTTCTCACAACTGTGTTTGGTGGCGATTTTACAGATTACCGTTCGGAAATATCTTATCTTATGACCTTCAAAACAAATTGATGTTTGGGAAGTTGTGACTACTTTTTTAAATTGTATCCCTGTGGTTTTATTGTATTTTGTGGTTATTTGACATGTCTTGTGCATTAATTCAAAGGTAGTCATAATTCTGTTACATAGTTTCTCCACTGCTAATCTGTGTTATTGTTGCACCTTTTTAACAATGGAGATAGTCACTAAGCAAAAGATTTGTGAGATATGTTAATATTAGTAGATCGATGTATTCTATTTAAATCTTACTCAGAAAGTATTGGAAGGATCGTGTGTGTGGTTGTAGGGATACATTCAGCAGGCTCCGGGCAAGCAGATGGCCGCAGTCTCTGTTGCTTGCGTTCCAGGTTACAGTGCCTCTGCCAGCATCCCAGCTCTCCTTGCCTAATTTTGGATCCACGGGGCAGCCGTTGATTGCTCTGCCCCAGACTCTGCAGCCCCCGTTACAGCACACCACCCCCCAGGCGCAGGCCCCCAGCCTGAGTCGGCCGGCACAGGTCAGCCAGCCTTTCAGAGGATTGATCCCCGCGGGAACACAGCACAGCATGATCGCGACCACCGGCAAAGTGAGTGGGGAGAAAGCAGCCGCTGCTTTGAGAATTCGAGGCCACGCGTGTAGAGGTGCACCTCTGCGTCGTCTGTGCAGAGAAAACGCGTCGGGTCTCACCGCCCTCTGGGACATCCCGAACCCTAACGTGCTTATTTTTTAGCGACTTACTTTTAATGTGTTTCGCCCCCCTCTGTTTTTAACGAGTAATGAAGAATTTACAAATTTTGTGGGAGAATTGGATTTACACAGTCTCAGACTGTTCAGCCACAAATTTGTCCTTCTTAAGGCCATGGTATTTGAAAGCTAATCACAGGGTTTCGGGATTCGGATGCTTTGCCCTTTGCTAGAGTAAGTCTTTTCATGTCATATATTAAACACGGCTTGTTAGCTTGTGAAGTTGCAGAAATGGTAAGTTTATTTTGTGCTCTCTCTCAGATGTCCGAAATGGAACTGAAAGCCTTTGGAAGTGGCATCGACATGAAACCAGGCACACCTCCCATCAGCGGCAGAAGCACCACACCCACCTCTAGTCCCTTCCGGTAAAATGGGTGTTTACACTTGCTTGTAGAATTCCCAGGTAACTGAGCACTGTGTGTTAGGTGCGCAGTACGTCAGCAGTCCTGTGGTAAGCTGTTAAGGCAGTCCGATCGATAGTTTTAAGTAAAATGTTAAGCTGTTAAATTATTAAGAATGTGATTTGTTATACTATATTTTAAGAAAAAACCTTTTACTGCCGGCACATCTGGCCGGCGCCCTCCTCGCCTCTGCCGCCCAACATCTCCCCACCGCGGTAACGTTGGTGCCCCGGGGTTAAGCCGCTACGGCTCCCCCGTCTGTGGGCCTGCCCAGCACACTGCCTCCGGCTCGTCTAAGGGCATTGTGCATCTGGCACCACTGTACTGACCAGTGACGACTTCTTTCCAAGGGCCACGTCCACCAGTCCCAGCAGCCAGTCCAGCAAAATGAACAGCATCGTCTATCAGAAGCAGTTCCCGTCGGCCCCCGCCGCTGTGAGAATGGCACAGCCTTTTCCCACACAGTTTGCACCCCAGGTGGGCAGATCTAAGTGAGAACGGAGTCCTAGCTCCTTCCAGATGATCGCTTATGCTAGTTCCCTGATCATGTAATCTTGCCATTTTATAACCAGTTTAGAAGCACAGTTTTTAATTAGAAACAGTTTCTAATTTAACAGTAAATTCATGGCATTCAAATATAGTGTCTATAATTTTTAGCTAGACACAGGTTATTCCTAAAGCAGACAGTAGAAATAGTCAGAAGGTTCCCCACACAGCTCTGATCATTTACTCCAGTTCTGTTCCTTTTATCTTTTTGAAAAAGTTGACTTTTTAGAGAAGGGTCCCAGTGCTTAAAGTTTTCCAGGTTTAAAGGTTTTTGTTTGGTTTGGTTTGGTTTTTGAGTTTTTTGGTTTTTGTTTTTTGTTTTTTTGTAATAACTGTGTAGTCGAGGTAAATTTTCCAAAAGCTGTTTTAATATATGTGAAAAAGTGTTGGCTTCTCTTCCCTTTGCTGATCATATGGAAGGACTAACTAAAATTAATAAGAACGCTCACAAACTAGAATTGGTTCCTGAGAAAACACATATTTGCTGAATTGGCATTATTTTTTATTTATCTTTATCTTATGTTTGGTATGGGAATGTGCCTTTCCTACAAATATACCTTTTTTTAAAAGTATTCTAAGTAATAGCCTTTCTGTCTCTCCTTCAGAATTTGTTACCGAAATGCTAGCACCAAAGCATGCTTTGCCTGATTTTTCTGTTAGATTCTCCAGGCGTGGCCTATTGGTTCTTAGCCCCCGCACTAGAATGGCGCCCGCCCACAAATCCGTTCACTTCCCTCCACTGGCAGAATTGGTACAGATTTACTCTGGGATAAGCCAGCCCTGTCTAGTTGGCCAGAAAAATTTTTTTAACAGTTTAATGTTGTATGTTTTGTTTTTTTCACTCAGATTCTCTCTCAGCCTAACCTGGTCCCTCCATTGGTAAGAGCCCCACATACTAACACCTTCCCAGCGCCTGTTCAGAGGCCACCAATGGCACTGGCCAGTCAGATGCCTCCTCCGCTGACCACAGGCCTCATGAGCCATGCTCGTTTGCCACACGTAGCCAGGGGTCCTTGTGGATCACTCTCTGGAGTCAGAGGTAATCAGGCCCAGGCTGCGCTGAAGGCTGAGCAAGACATGAAGGTTAGTACAGCGTTGACAGCCAGCAGAGCACAGCTCTGTCTCTGCGCCACGTCTCACGATGCCTCTGGACCCGTAACCGCACATCCAGGCATTCACGCCTCAGCAGACCCAACCCGCGCACCGCTCCTGTTCGTTCTTTTTTTTAATTATTTCTTTTATTTTTCTCCCTATTCCCCCCCACCTTTTTTTTTTTTTTTTTTTCTTTCGCAATTATAGTCAGCAAACAAGTTTAACATTTTAAACTCTGGCCAAGTGATCGCTTTTAAAACATATGTGAGTCTCGCGGCTGCTTTTTTTTTTTTTTTTTTTTTTGAAGAGCAAAAAGGTCATATGAATTATTATACGCTTCCCCATTTTCTTTCATTTGTTTTTCTTTGTTTTTCTCCCCGTACCCCACCCCCCATTCCCCGAGCTTAAGAAATAGAAATCACAGTTATGCAAAAACTTGGAATGAGTGAGACATGTTACCTGTCTTGATTTTTTTTTTTTTCTCATGGTCATCCAAGTACAGTTTTCTCCAACTGTTTTCATACCCCCTTTTTGCTTGCCACCTTGGGTGGCTGTACTCCACGACAGATTGTGTAACTGTAGATGAAGAGCTCAATAAAGCACTTTGGGATCCTTCATGACAGAAGGCACTGGTCAGCGTGAGGTTCGCTGACACAGAAGAGTGCCTTCAGGAGTCTGTGTGGGGACAGTCTTCAGAGCACAAGCCTTACCTGTGTGCCTGCAGCCAGCGATGCCTTTGTTTCCGTGTTTACGGAGACTCGACTTTAGCAGTCTTAGTAATTTTGCCTGTTTTGTCATTAATATGTGTCAGGTCAGACTAGAGCGAAGCCGCCTGCTTTCCAGCAGAGACTGTCCGTGGTCCTGCTTTACTCTGAAGGAGAGCCGGCCTTACGGTTACCCGGTGGGAGGGTTTGGGGACTGGCTAGAGCTGCTTTTGGGATTGGTATCCCTTGTTTCTGATCCCAAGTAATCAAATCTAAAGACTGCCCTGCAGCGAAACTCTTATTAACTAACTTCTCCTTTGATTAAGGCTGCGCCTAAGGTGTCCACCCAGCCTTAACTGTTAAAGGTACTAGTTAGAACATGTAGAAATCTCTGGAGACCATTTGGCCTTCGTTTCCAGTTCCCCTCCTGGCTCCTTGGCACTCGATTGTCCCTTGTTGGAACTGGCATTGGAGCTAATAATGGGGTGGACAAGGGCGTACGTTTCTTGAAAATTGCTTCAGATTTTTGGGTCGTATAAATTACCTGTAGGGCATGAAGGGCTTTTTTTAAATGTAAGAGGCATAGAAACTTGAGTTTTAATTGTATGAGTCACAGTGGTATAACTTACAGAGCGACGTAAGTAGGTCCTTGGGGGCACAGAGGACACCCAGGAAGTCGTTTTACCCGCTCAGAGCGTGGTAGGAGCTATCAGAACTTAGTGATCAGTGAGTTCGTAGTACTAATTTCTGATGCTCTTCCCCTGCAGAAGAGAGCTGTGGGAAGAGGACTCAGCCACCAGACATTTGGTCCTAGGTGTTGGTAATGCCACAATATAAGTGCTTCCTTTTCATTTTATTGTAGACCACGTATTGATAACTACAGATTTTAAGTGTTACGTATATGCTTTCAAATTTGCAAGCAGGCTCCCTGTATAAAATTGTATCAATAAGGTTTGTTCCAGAAAAGATAACAAACCAACAGCAATTTCTATTTTATTATTTTATAAGAGGGCGAACTTTGAAAAGGTGGTGGGAGGTGGTCTGTTCTTTTCAAATATTTAAAAAAAAAAAAAAAAAAAAATCCCACGGAATGTTTTCAGAGATAGGAAGAGATCTATCCATTAAAAGCTGACAGATCAATGAGGTGCTTCTGGTTTGGCCAAGCCAGCGTGGGGAAACCGATCTGTGATTGCTAAGAGAATTCGAACTGAGACTGATCGACAGGCTTTGGTAGTGCTGCAGCCTCTTCAGTTGTTGTTTCTCGTTTTTTAAGGCAAAGCAGAGAGCAGAGGTGCTTCAGTCCACGCAGCGGTTCTTCTCTGAGCAGCAGCAGAGCAAACAGATAGGAGGCAAAGCCCAGAAAGTGGACAGTGATTCAAGCAAGCCTCCTGAAACGCTGACCGACACTCCTGGTGTCTGTCAGGAAAAAGCAGAAGAAAAGCCACCCCCCGCGCCCGCCATAGCCACCAAACCTGTTAGAACTGGACCAATCAAACCTCAGGCGATCAAAACCGAAGAAACAAAATCTTAAAAGGCTGTGGTTTATTCCGGGGGGGCTGGGGGCGGGGAGAGGGGAAAGAGGAAGAATGAAGTGAGATGATGCCCCCAGCCAGAGCGGCCGGCGGCCTCTGACATTCTCCTTTCCAGAGCTCGGAGGTGCCCGGGGACACAGCGGCCGTTCACACTGACGCACAGCTGCTGTCAGCTTGCACCTACCGTACAACACGCACTCTGCCGATGGCCATGCGTCTTCAGTCAATTTACATACAAACACACACATGCACGCATTTCTCGAGTGGATGTAATTTAGAACTAAATCCTTATGGTTAGATGAAACACCAGAGGTAAGAGGAAAATAGCCCGGCCGAGGGAAAGCTCGGCCTGACCAGTGCGGAGGTCCCAGCCGAATGCATCACATGTGGTTTCTTGGCTCCCTTCTGTCCTCCGGATGTGGTGACAGCATTTGTAGGCTTGGTGGTGAGACACTGAAGATGACTGGGGCTGGAGAGAGGGGCCTTGTTTTCGAGTCTGGCAGCTTGCTGTGTTTTGTAACATGGCGATAGAGTTGAATACAATCAGAGTACAGTAACCGACCTCCTCTTCTCCCTGGACGAGCGAGCAGATGATGAATTAGCGCTGCCCGCGTCCTGACATACCCGAGCGGGCGGTGTGGGGCTCCTGCTTCTGTCTGAAACGATGCTGTGTTGTGGCCATGGTCGAAGCTCTGCAGTGCTGCTTGGCGTCTGCCCCGTGGCGCGCTCGCCGCTCAGACGGCGGATCTGGGGAGGCGCTCGTTAGGCTGGGTCTTGCTTGCCTCCGCGTGGTCATCTCTATGAATCCAATGGGTTGTGGGTTTTTTTTTCCCCCCGTCTTTTTTTTTTTTGTCTTTTTTAAACGGTTTTTAGCTGATATTCGTGAGGAGCAGTGAGTACCTAGAACCGTGCCCCTGACGGAAGGAAATCCTAGCTAAGAAGGCGCATTCTTCGCCAGAGCCGTGTCGTTCCACCCTTTGGGCCCTCTGCTGGAACAATAGAATCAAGTCTCAAATAATGCCTTTTTAATTGTATCCTCTAGTACCATAGACGTAGGACAGTACTGTACCATACCTCTGTGAATGTAAGATATCGTACCTGCTTCATGATACGTAGTAGTGACCGTGCTTTATCAGAGCTGTTTTTAATGACGTTATTCTAGAATGTTTTCTTTCCAGATGATGATTGAGAAGCTAATTTAAAAAAAAAAATGGTGCCAGGTACCACGACAGTAACAGAACTTTGCTGTTTTCTGGGGTTTTGTTTTTTACCTTTTTTTGTTTTTTTAACGGAGTGTGCTGGATGTCTCTCTACTTCTGTGCAGATGACTGCAGAGCCTGGAAAAGCTGTTGCTGCTATTGATGCATAACTTACTGCTATTGGTCTTTTTTATATAAATAAATATATATATACATATATATATAATTTGAATTTTTGGAAACTAGCTGTGCTGTCAACTTTGGAAAAAGTATCCCAGGTGTACCGTGTTGGGTTGGCATTGTACAGAAATTAACAGCCATATTGGTCTAGAAACGTTGGACGTAATTTTCTCCATTTGTACAGGGGTTACGCACTGTGTTAAATACGTAAGGTCTTATCTACATGGGTTTGATTACAGAAACTAATAAAGTATTCTCTAAATAATGAATCTTGGCACTTCTGATCCATTCCTAAAATCTGAAGCAGTCTGTCACGTACCAAAAATAGCGAGCAATATTATCTAAAGATTTGATTTCTGACTTTGGGAACTACGAAGCCTATTCAGTCAGAGTAAATGTGGTCTGGCTCCTATCGGGGCGGCTGTTCTCATGTTGAAAACACGAGGTCCGTCACGGAAGAAGAGAGAGGTCTGTCTTGGTGATGTGGAAAATAGCGTCACCATTCTGCTGGGCAGGTGTCGAAGGACCCAGAGCACTTCCGTCACTTGGATTTGCACTGTTTGTGTCCTCGCAAGCACATTCCCAGTCATCACCTGCACAGGCGGACACTACGGGAATTGACTCACTCACTCAACTTGGAGAGTGAAGTACTGCGGGAAAATAATTGCCTAAGATTCCATGGCCAGAACGTGGTTTCCAGGCCCAGCTTTCGGAAAACTAGGAATTCAGTCGCTGATGACCGCGTGCCTTCTTTACTCACGGACCCCGTGGTTCTTAAACACACGGTGCTCAAATACTAGAAAGCCCTCCCTTGACATCCAAGCTTTTTGGTCTAAGGCTTTTCTCAAAATATGCCCTAAATTGGCGTGATGGGTACGTTGGGAACACAGGCTGTACCAAGGAGCTGCAGTCACCACGTGTCTGCCGCCTTAGTCACTCCCTTTGCCAGTTTTTTATATTCAAGTCAAGTTCTCGATTTTATGACAAAGGTAACCAGTTACATAGCGTATGTCACCTTCATTTGTGAGCACCAGGTCTGCGTTGCTCAGGTGGCTGTATTAGCTTGAAACGCCACTAATGCCCTAGGCCCTTTGTAGCTGTGATCAACACGGGAAAAATGGCAACAGAAACCTACTCAGTAAAAGGAAGATATTTGTATAAGTGCTTCCCCACCGTTTGGTTATGTTAAATCTCATCTCTGGCCTTTGACATATGGCAAAATAACCCAAAAGATGATGCAGTTAGTGGCTGACGATAGATTTGGTCACACAGATTTAACATTCTCTGCCCTCGTAAACTGTTCGGGTGAGGGGGCAGTGGGCTCGTTTTTGTCCTTAGTTAATAAATTGTGCTTTATGATGGAAGAAAAGATGGGGGAGGAGGGGTAGAGAATGAGAGGAGATAGTCTGAAAAGGCATTTTGTTGTCTTCACGATACAAATCACGGAAAAAAGTTTCAACGCTTGGCTGGAGGCAAGATGTAGAAGGGAGAATCGGAATGTGTCATGGATTTTTAAAAGCTGACAGTAGACTGTCTGATGTACGAGGCGTGTCTTCTGACAGGTCACCGGGGATTTTCACGCTGTCATTGTACCATATTTCACAGCTCAGCATTTTGGGTATTTTCACATTCCCTTTCCAATCTTTTTTACCACAGTCTGCAGTTCACTACAGTCGGCCTGTTTGTGAAAAGCGCCTTAATTTGATTCTATTATAGGTGCTTTAAGTTTCAGCCATAATGTTTTTGCTTGTGAAATGGAATAGAAAGAACAGGGTGATGGTGTGTGCATGCTATGCCGGCTCTGTCAGCACCTTTGTGTCGCTGCTTTCAAGGTGCAAACGAGAGGTGTTCCCTGGGCCCGTGTCCTCCCGTCTGCTGGCCCCGTTCACCCTCTCAGGCATAGGGCTGAGTCTGCTGTGGGTGCTCGAGGCAGTGGCTCCATATGGTTTTCCCGAAACACCCAGGAGACAGTGACATCAGATTTCAAGCCACGACTGCTGTGGATTCTCTATGGTAGGGTGAACGTGACATGGCATCACTTGGATTCTTAAGAAAAAGCCCTCCGAGGGTCTTTCTGGACGGGGGGCTGGTCGAAGTGGTAAAATCGAAAATTAGGGGTGCCTTAAGTGCTTGATTTCAGATGTACATTTATTTTCCATCCAACTTTTTGATGAAGCCTAGGCTGTTTCTTCGCGATGCCTGCTAAACTGGAAGAGTCTTAGTATGGTGATCAGGGGTCCAGATCTGTCGTTGCCTTTCCCAGATGCGTCCGTACAATAGTGCTGCCCCCGAACTTCTCAAAAGCTTGAGATACTGGACCTGCCAGTTTATTCCCTTCCCCCAGAATCGCATCCAGCCTCACCACCAATGAAAGTGTAACAAGTGGCCGTCACAGCTTGCCAAGGTCATTAATGCTCCACTCGCCACCAGGGGGTGACATGGTTCTCTCTGCCTAGTAATCCACTGCCTGTATCTTCTCGAGTCCACTACCAGTGCCAACTGTGTTAGACTGAGCTCATCGGGACACAGACACTGAAATGAAGACGGACGTGCAGGGCGTCCAGTGGTGGGGGGCCCTCTGCACGGATCCCCGAGGGCAGAGGGGGGAAACGAGCTGCAACGGCTCCATTGAAGGCCTCAGTCCATTCTGCAGGCCGCCCCGGAGCGGGAAATGGCCTTCAGAGTCATCCCAAGTTGAGGCAAAGGGCTGGGCGTTCTTATCCCACAGTGGCCGGTCTTCGGCTGAGGGCTGTCCGTCTCTAGGGTCAGGCCATGAACTTGGCTGAGAGGCCGCTGTCCCAAGCTGAAAGCAATGCCTGGGGAGGGACTTGCCATCAACACCCCCAGCAGCTGACAAGTGCCTCAGACAGAGGAGATCTACAAAGTGGCTGGAGTTGTTAGGTGCTGTGACTGCTCTTTTCCCCATGTGCATGGAGGACTCGAGCTGTCACCATGCGGGCAACACGATGAAGACCCGAAGCAGGAGAGGAAACGAGCCACGCAGGCCCTTGGGGCAGAGATGCTCCAGGCAGAGGCCGCCGCAGGGGTGTGCCCGGGGTTCGGGAACAGCAAGGCCCGATGGAGCAGAGTGATGGAGCAGAGTGAGGAAAAGAGAGGGGTCGCGGCTGAGGTCGGGGCGAGGGGAGGAAGCGGGTCGTCTGGGTCTTGAAGGCCGTTTAAGGTGTGGGCTTCTCCTCGGGAACGTGACGCCGTTACAGGCCTGAGCAGAGAAGGTGCCGTGACTTACACAAAAGGACGGCTCTGGCCGTGTGCCGCAGAGACGGAAGGAGGGACAGGGACGAACGGGCAGACCGGTTAGGAGGCTTTGCAGTTACGCCGCAGAGGATGGGGAGTTGGGCCCAGGGCGGCGACAGGGAAGGTGGCAAGAAGTGGCCGGATCCTGGGTACAACTTCAAGAGCGGAGCTGAATGCGGTCACGAGTTTCCGGAGAGACCGCTCATCAAGTGGTGTTTCTGGCCACTACGGCCGCCAGGGGACCGGCGGGGAGGAGGTGGAGGGTGAGTGACGGGCTGGCACTCAGCCGAGCACGTGCAAAGACGCTAGCGCGACAGGGGAACTGGGAATCCGCTCGAGGGTCCCCTCGCCCCGTCGCCGGCGGGGCTAATCATCCTATTACCTCAGCCATATCTGTCTGTAAAAACTACATCAGGCCCACGAATTCTGCAGTGATGGAGACGGACCCCGTTCACAGCAGACCAAACCCGCCAGCTTCTGCTCTCGCAGGGAGGGCAGGACAACATAGTCCCCGCAGGTGCCTTTGGCCCTCCGGCTCGTCTTCCTGTGAGGCCAGGTAGGGGCACCTGTCCTGTTCTCCCAGGCCCGTCCTCAGCCTGTTTTCCGTACACGAAGAGCCTTGCTGAGAAGTTTCTGCGCCCCATTCTCCATTTCGTCGTAGTGTCTCGTAGCTGCACATTTTTCTCCTGCGTCTGAAGAATACGTATTCTCGTATCTCACCCACATGTATTCTGTGGGTGGGAAAATGTAGCTGTTAAATATTCGGACATGTTTTGAATCGCAGTGGTATCACGTGACAAGGGCGCGCTCTTCC